CAAGACGACGACAACTGTCACAAGTAGGCTGTATATTACCTGAGACGGACCCTTGTAGGCACCGAGTCTCAGTATCCAATGATTGAGAGAGAGTCTCTCGCCTTGGTATTCTCTATTCAAAATATGCGGCACTACTTGGTCGGACAGACTATTTACGTCATCTATAATGTTAACCCAGTTCGGGTGTTCATGACGCAGCCGGCTTTCATGAATTGCCCTTCTTCGGTCTTAATATGATCTGCACTTTAAACAACAGAAGTCGGTTAAATGACAGGCTATTTTTGATCTTCTAGCAGTAAACCCAACTATGGATACCACTAAGATATACGATGATCTACCAGATGAAACCCACGAAGTAAACGTAACTTCCCACCAATAAGTTTGCCGTTTGTACTTCGACGGTGCTTCTCGAGCGACCAATGTAGCAAGTAATCATGGATATTCTAGGATCTCCTCCGGAGTCGGAATTGTCTTAGTTTCCCCGGGAAAACGGCTGATGCCTCGAGCCTACTCACTGACCGAGCCGTGCTCAAACAATGTAGCCAAGTATAACGCACTACTTATTGGATTCAGCTTCGCTAAAGAGCTGGGGGTTGAGTATATCGAAGCTTTCAGCGATTCTCAACTGATAGTTAAACAAGTTCAAGGAGAGTATGAGGTCAGAAGTCAGGATTTAATACCATACTATAAGGTGGCCATTGAGATGGTAGAATCGTTTAAAGGATAATTCATCGAGTACTTTCCACATCTATAGAATGCATACGCAGATGCACTGGTAGCGTTAGCAGTATCTCTGGCACAACCCCTCGAAACGGAACAGGTCATCACAGTAAGAACTCACCAGCTCTTCATACCAATTTACGATATGGACAACGAAGAAAGGGATATTAAATAGGTACATTCAGCCTAAGTTGGCTTCGAGCCTCGAGATTGGTGTTTTCCTATCATAGATTATGTCTTGCACGATATCTTACCGGAAGACATGAAGGAAAGAGAATCAATTCAACGAAGAGCGCCAAGGTTCTACTATAACATGGAGAGTCAAACGTTATATCGGCGAGGGTATGATGGTTTGCTACTCTGTTGCCTATCGGTGAAAGAAGCGGAAGAAGTCCTTAAAGAGACACATGAAGGCGTTTGTGGTGCATACCAACCCGGCCCCAAATTTTATGACCGCATCAGAAGGATGGGATATTTCTAGCCCACCATGATCAACGACGCAGTTGCGTACGCCCGAAAGTATCATGCGTGTCAAGTACACTCAAATTATATGCACTAACCCCAGGAACGTCTGCACCCTTCAGCTACATCATGGCCTTTCGAGACTTGGGGAATGGACGTTATTGGTCTTATTTTTCCCCCGTCGATCAAAGGCGACCGATTCATCCTAGCGATTACCGATTACTTCTCCAAATGGGCTGAAGCGATTCCACTCAGAGAAGTTAAGACGAGCAATATCATGGCATTCATCAAGCACCATATTATCTATCGGTATGACATCCCAAGGCGAATCATACATGACAACGGTCCTCAGTTTGTCAGCAATGCCTTCATCAAGTTTTGTGAAAAGTTTAAAATTCAAGATGTCTCATCGATAGCTTACAATCCCACAGCAAATGGATTGGCTGAAACCTTTAACAAGACTATCATAAAACTTTTGTCGAAACTCATGAAGACTAATAAACGAGATTAGGACGATAAACTCGACGAAGCTCTACGGTCTTATCGCACCACACTTTGCACGCCCACCGGAGCAACCCCATATTCTCTGGTGTACGGGTGTGAAGCGGTTCTTCCATTGAAAATCCAAATTTCATCTCTTCGGATTGCTCTCGCAACAGAGATGACGACTGAAGAACAACATTAGAAACATCTCGAAGAACTCGAGATGCTCGATAAAAAGTGCTTAGAAGCCCAACAGCACATTGAGTTCTACCAAGCCAGAATTTCTCGAGCTTTCGATAAAAAGGTTCGACAACAGAATTTTAAAGAAGGGGATTTGGTCTTAGCCATCCGATGACCAATGGTTATTAATTCTAAGAAGAAAGGCAAGTTCGAACCCAAATAGGAGGGACCATTTGTGGTAGAGATAGTCTATTCAAATGGCACATACCGCCTTATTACCAAGAAAGGCGCCCGACTTATGATGCCGATAAACGGGAAGTTTTTAAAAAAGTACTACCCTTAGTACGTTCAAAATAACCCATGTAACGGGAAGTTCCTGGAAGAATACTACATGTGGTATTCTTAGGGATAACTCAGTCACTACAAAAGTGATAAATAAGAAATTAGCACTCGCATTCTGAATGTCCTCAAGGTTGAAACGTATCCCACTACCGAGATTAAATTTACGAACTCTCGTGAATACTTTTGCTGAGACAAGATTCGATCACTTTGATAGATCAATCTTTCCTCGCAAAACCCCGCTAGTGTTTGGCAATTCATAATCTTCCACCAAAAAATCCCCACTAATCAAGTCAATTGACGGTGGGTTCCCCAAAATTCCTATTGGTTAAATCCGTTCAAAACTCTCACCGTGTTTGTGCACTTAACACTCATGTCATTAAAATACTAACATGACACTCAAAAAATCCTATCCACCAATCTTTGGCAATTTTCAAACTTAGCGTGTTAAGTCCTAATTACTTAACACCGAAATCTCCCATCGAGTGGCTAGTACAAGTCAACATTTTCACTGCTATTTGTACTCTATTCCTACTGCTTGCTTGGTCAAACCTATAAAAGTTAGGGCCAAAGCCAGAATTCCTTCTCGATCTCTTCTATGAACGAGAGGTCCACTTTCAAATTGAGCAATCAAATCTATAAAAGTTAGGATTGCCTCCAACCCCACTTGGTCAAACCTGCAAACAATTAGGACCAAAATCAGAATCCCCTTTTCGATAAACGAAAGGCTTCCACCTTTTCCTATTCGGCCAAACCTATAAAAGTTAGGGCCAAAGTCGAAATTTCACCTTGATAAATGAGGAATATTTTTTTAGATTAAGTAACCAATCCTATAAAAGTTAGGGTTGCTTGAATCTTCTTGATTCTCGGAGTGGAGATCCTACTCTTAGTTTCACCTTTCCGGATTCTCGGAGTGGAGATCCCACTTTGAGTTCCCCTTTGCAGCTGAAGATAGAATATAAAATTCTTCCTCTTTAGTTTTAGGAGATAGAATATAAAATTCTTCCTCTCTCGTTTTAGGTTCGTCTTCACCTTAAAGAAGACCTGGAGACAGAATATAAAATTCTTCCTCTCTAGCATCGGGTTTAGCATTACCCTAAGAAAAGACACAATTCTCGACTTCAAATCCGTGCACTTCATACACGGTGGATTTTATCTCGATCCCTAACTAGAGATAAGTCTATGTCTAACATACGTTGTTTAGTCTTTCACCGAATGAAAAAGACACTAGAATACAAGTCTGGGGAATTTTATCCCGAAGCCTAAGTAGGGATAAGTCAGTGCTTAATATGCGTTGCAGGGTAGTCTATTCCCATGAGAAAGATGAAGTCTATGTATTCAATATCGTAGCACTAAAAGAGTTAACTTTTTAGCACAACGTTACATGCGGAACAGACTTAGACAATCCGCATGCTAACCCAACTCAAACGGTAGTCGGTAAAGGCATATCAAATCCGTTGATGGCTGAGGGTTTGCGAAAAATCCTATAAATATTATGCTTGATTATTCTTACAAGAATGAGAAATCATAACAAAAAAAATATGATGGGCAAAAAAGAAAATGTCTTCTATTAATAAAAATCGAGTTTACAGATACAAGAGTTACAATCAATCTACAAGAAGCTTATGGCTAAAAATTTGTTATTCTAACTTAGACAATTCTACAATATAAGCTCGCTCGAGCTCGCTCTGCAATATGGTCTTCATGGATTCCTCGTCAATAGCCAATGTTTGCACGGCCTCCGCCTTCATTGTGGCCAACTTCTCTTTGGAAAGTTCTAGTTGCTTGGACATTGTATCTATGGCGCCCTCCGCATGGACTTTTGTCATTTCCAAAACAGTCTGAGCATCCTTTGCCGCTTTAAGTTCCAATTCGAGTAGCTCTATCATGGCGACACCTAGTGTGAGAGAAGATTCAATGTTATGAAGGGCTACCAATTTATCATTAAGAATTTTCTCTATCTGGTGAACACGACCGTCTTGTTCTTGAATCTTGAAATTAGCAGATACTTGAGCCTCACGCCATGCCTGCAGCATAGTTTCCATCTGAGTGGCCACGTATGAAGGAGCACCGACAGTCTGGAACTCCTTCAGCTTTTGAAACTCATGATTGAGACGGTCTAAGTCTACAGTAATAGCATCTTCCAAATCTGAATGTCCTTGATTTCTTATGAAGGCCACTTGATAGTCAAGATACGATTTGAAAAGACCGGGAGAAAGTCCTTTGTTGATAAGCTTGTCAATCATATCGTTCACAAACGAGAAGAAGGAAGTGATTTCCATGCGAAGAAGGACTTTATCCGGGTCATCATCAGATAGCAGAGCCTTGACTACGTCATTGAGGCGGGAAGATGACCCTACAAGGAAAAGAGGATATAAATATTTTGAAATGTTAGCCAAAGTTCTGAATCAGTATCGGTGTAAAAATTACCAAAGTCGAATGATGCTTCCTCGAGTTGACGCCCCGCACTCAGTTCTGCCTGCACGACCTAATGAATTGTTAGGGTTGTTGTCGGTATTACAGCCGTCGACGTACCAACCTCTTTAGTTGGTCTCACGGCTTACTCAACAGGGCTAGTCCCCATAGCTACAGCAGTCATTTTGATCGTCGGCATTGTAGGCTGAGTTTGAGCAATTGACGTCTGAGTTTCTATGATAGTTCCTACCAACAGCAAGAAATCAAGACCCTCAGGATCGTCAGGTATCCTAACAATAATAGTTGCATCAGTCTCAACGACTGGTCCTACTAATAAAACTCCCCTATGGTTAAGTAAAATCGATAAATGAATAACGATCACAAAGGAATAAAATTTATACCTGCAGAGGAACGAGCCTCGATGATCGGTTCAACAACCTCACGATGAGCCTATTCTGACAATGTGTCGTCGAACGGCCTATTACCAGATCCCAAAGGGTCTTGTACGGGATCAGGTGAAGGTACGTCGGCTGCGTTGTGAAAGGTTTCTTCATCACTTAAACCTTCAATTGAAATATCTGCAGAAGAGTGTAAGTGTTAAAACATGGAAATAGAAGTTAAAAATTGATAATGAATGGGAATTAAATTTACCTTCGGTAACAAGAGTAGGCTCTGCGATCCCGACATCAGCACTCGCTTCTTGTAGCTTTTCTAAAAGAGCCAGAAGCATGTAAACAATTAGGGGAAGGACGAATTCTGAGTCGTTTAATGCCTTATAGTGTCATCTAAAAGGTGTACTACCGATAATAGATGTACCTAGACTAGCAATCATTGTGAAAAAACAAGGTTCTGCAACGGCACCTTTGCCGGTCTCAATGGTCACACCTGTTTCAACACCCACCGGATCCTCAACCACGACCTCATTCGTTTGTGGCACGAAGTTGGATCCTCCAAAAAAATCTAAGTCGGGAGAAGGAGGGTTGTATGTCATTGCATCTTCTTCATGACCCCCTAAAATATAAAAGTCTCTAAGTCTAAGACTTAATAGTTGAAAAGATTGAAAGATAACAGGGGTTGAAACATTAACTTCCCCACCGATGGGCACATCGCTGGCCACTCCTGTTTTAGAAGACTGGGGTTTGGCGCGTCACTTGAAAATCATTTTCATTCGTTTGGCAGGTCGAGACTCTTCAAGATCCACAGGTCTATCCTGTGTTGATGTAGCACACGGCTCGATTTGCAACCCAGTTTGAGTTATGGTCTGAGATCGGGCACGGGTGACAAGGCTACTTCTCCCCTCTTCTTCCTTGGAACCTACATCTGAAAGTTCAACCATCATTATATTATAAGTGGAAAAAAATTTCCACTTCTTTCGAGCATTAAATCGGTGAGCCCGATCAGCGATTGATAGATCCCATAGCTCTTTATAAAAAGACTCAGACAAACCTTTCCTATGTTCCTTGAAATCAATGTCAACTGTTTGCGGAGAAAGTTGCTTGTTTCATTGCGAGATTCATTACAAACTTCAGACATTTACAACGAATACAAAAATCAGTCTTTTTATAAGACTTTTACACAATGAAAACAAAAAAAGTTTACAACTTTATCAAACAAACGCAGAGATTGTTTATCGGTCTTCTGCTTGCGTGGGATCTTTGCCTGTGCCGGGGTTTATCCGTGGACCACCGTCGATCAGATCTGATTGCTGAAAAATTGGGCAGAGCTTCGTCTATCCGCGAAGGGATCGAGAAAACTGTAGCTTTTATCTCGGCGAAGCGAGATAATCACTCTTCTTAAGATTACCGCAACGGGATAATCCTAAGGAACGGATCCGGGAAACTGTAGATCTGACGAATCTCTCTCTCTTACGTTGAAGAACTCGATCCAATCTCTCCTCTTCCTCTTTGAAATCTGTGTACTTTAAGTCTTCAATCCGGCAGGGCTTCGCCGAGGCACGAGAATTCCAGCCCCAGAAAAATGAGGCCTAAGGCTTGTATTTATAGGCTTGAGGGGATAACGGGCGGTTAAAATCGCATAAGGGCCCAAATCTGCGTTGGAGACACCTCAGGGTGTCTCAAACTGGTTGAAGACACCCTAGGGCGTCTCAAATTGGTTGGAGACACCCTAGGACATCTCAAATAGGTTAGAGACACCCTAGGGCGTCTCAAATTGGTTGGAGACACCCTAGGGCGCCTCAAATTGGTTGGAGACACCCTAGGGCGTCTCAAATTGGTTGGAGACACCCTAGGGTGTCTCAAACTGATCCGAGACACCCTGGGGTGTCTCATTCAGGCTGAGACGCCGTGTTATGTACACTTGTTCATTTCCGCCGTAACTTCTTCGTCCGAACTCGGATTTGAGCGATTCAAAGTACGTTGGAAAGCTGATGAAGAGTTCTATAAGCTCCAATGATTAGATCATCTGTGGAATAAATGAGACACGAATGGCATTTCGTCTTTTGTAAGTGACACGGGGCTCCCGATCAGTTCGTATCTTTATTATTCTAAAACTCTGTTGCTTCACATAGTTTGCCGATTCACTTCAAGCGTTCGTCGATGTCAATCAAGCTTCTGTGAACCAGATGGTGACGTTCATCGTCTTCTCTTAGCTTTGAGCTATTCGTGGAGACCTATAGGCAATTTTCGATGCCTACAGATACCCCCTCCAAAGCGTTCCAGACCCGTTTCTTTTATAGAAGATGCTGGAATACTTTGGATATAATTGGTCCAGCCTTCGATTGGTGTAAAGGACCTGTAGTTAGCTTCAACGCTTGGCTTCGTCGATTTTCGGTCTATTCGATGCTTTGACGAATAGCCGAAGTCCTTCCGGCGCTGCGTTTATCGCCTGGCCGTCGTTGGAGTCTCGAGTCTACCACCGGTGAGTTGAGTTTGGCTCGCATCATTGAGTTGACTTTGAACTGATTATCTCCGTCATAATATATTGATTTGCGTTGACTTTTTTGATCGCAACGCGTTGACCGGTGTTGACCAAGGGTTACGCGTTGACCCTAGGGTTTCGAACGTCGTACGTTAATACAGTTTATACTCGTACGTTTACTGGAGTATACACAGTTTAAGCTCTTAAGGTATTGGAGCACGGCGGTCCCAAGTGTCGGGGTTGCAGGACCAACTGTTAAAGCTGATTCATCTGCATTTGTGGATCTTATTTTAATGTTGTTGGATAATCGAGTCACGAGACCAACTAACAGAGCTGATGCATCAATGACTCGCACTTATAGAATTTTTGGCAAATTCTCAGCCATCAACGGGTTTGATGAGCCTTTACCGACTACCGTTTGAGTCGGGCTAGCATGCAGATTGTTTAGATCCGTTCTGCACATAACGTTGTGCTAAAAGAGTTAACTCTTTTAATGCTACGACATTGAATACGTAGACTTCGTCTTTCTCACGGGAATAGACTACCCGGCAACGCGTGTTAGGCGCTGACTTATCCTTACTTAGGATTCAGGATAAAAATCCCCAGACTCGGATTCTGGTGTCTTCTTCAATCGGTAAAAGACTAAACCGGCAACGCGTGTTAGGCGTTGACTTATCATTCCCCGTGCGTGTGAGGCACGGATTATGGTGTTATTAATAACAACCTGCCACAACGTTGAATATGTGGTCTTTTGTCCTTTTTACGGTCAAAGACTAACCGGCAATGCGTGTTATGTTGGCCTTCTTGTTTTGATGATGATTTACAAACAATTTACTACTAATGTTGTTTGTCTAGTGTTTGTGTATTCCTATGTATTGTAGACAAACAACGTAGTTGGAGGTTGGATGGAATAGAGCTTCAACGATGATATCCAATGGAGGTTGGCGGATTTGTGGAGTGAAGCTACATACAACCCGGCAGCGCGTGTTAGGCGTTGACTTATCCCTACTCAGGCTTCGGGATAAAATTCCCCGTGCATCGAGTGCCCGGATTTGACAATCGTGTCTTTTCTAAAAGCAAAGACAGATTGAGAAACGGGAGAGGAAGAATTTTATATTCTATCTCCCGGTGCTGAAGAGGAAGAATTTTATATTCTATCTACAGCTGGAAAGGAAACTCGAGGTGGGATCTCCACCCCCAGAATCCGGAAGGATGAAACTAAGAGTGGGATCTCCACTCCGAGAATCGTAACAATTCGGATAACCCTAACTGTCGGAAGGTTTGATTACCCAATTTGGAAGTGGACCTCTCGTTCATTGGGGGAATCGAGAGGAGATTTTGGCTGTGGCCCTAACTGTATGAATGTTTGACCAAGCAGGAGTTTGAGACGACCTAACTGTCGGAAGGTTTGATCGCTCGATTTGAAGGTGGACCTCTCGTTCATTGGAGGAATCGAGAGGGGATTTTGGCTTTGGCCCTAACTTTTATAGGTTTGACCAGAACGCAAAGAGAGTGGAATACGGGTAGCAAAGAAAGTGCCAACCCATATTACCACTCAAAGGGAGACTTTAATGTTAGGCGTTTAGGACCTAGCACGTTGAGTCTGAGAAACGCCAATGACTGGCAGATGGGAATGTTGGTGGGTCCACTGTCGTTTGATTTGATCAGCGGATGGTTTGGTGAGGAAAGATTAACCTACCAGAAGATTGGATCTCTTCTCACAAAAATAACTCATAAGAGTTAGAGAATAAGAAGAGACATTCTGACCTTCAGAGTTCGAACGTGAATTTTTTTTTTATTCACCAATTCCACAATGATTGGGTTATCCCTAAGAATACCCATGTGGTATTCTTTCGGGAACTTCCCGATGCATTGGATAATCCACCCCCAGTTTCTCTCTTGGAACTGGGTTTGACTTGGTTGTCCGACCGGGTTATCCTTAAGAATATTAGCGTAATATCCTCCAGGAACTTCCCGTCAATGGTAGGAAATAGTTTAGACTCATATACCTATTGGAGTATCAGGGAGCAGTTTAACCTCTTATACCGGTAGGAGGAATGAGAAACAGTTTATACTCGTATACTCTTTGGAGTGAGAAGCAGTTTATACTCTTATACTTATCGGAGTATCGAGAAACAGTTTATACTCGTATACTCTTTGGAGTGAGAAGCAGTTTATACTCTTATACTTATAGGAGTATCGAGAAACAGTTTATACTCTTGTACTCTTTGGAGTATTGAGGAACAGTTTATACTCTTGTACTCTTTGGAGTATTGAGGAACAGTTTATACTCTTGTACTCTTTGGAGTATTGAGGAACAGTTTATACTCTTGTACTCTTTGGAGTATTGAGGAACAGTTTATACTCTTGTACTCTTTGGAGTATTGAGGAACAGTTTATACTCTTGTACTCTTTGGAGTATTGAGGAACAGTTTATACTCTTGTACTCTTTGGAGTATTGAGGAACAGTTTATACTCTTGTACTCTTTGGAGTATTGAGGAACAGTTTATACTCTTGTACTCTTTGGAGTATTGAGGAACAGTTTATACTCTTGTACTCTTTGGAGTATTGAGGAACAGTTTATACTCTTGTACTCTTTGGAGTATTGAGGAACAGTTTATACTCTTGTACTCTTTGGAGTATTGAGGAACAGTTTATACTCTTGTACTCTTTGGAGTATTGAGGAACAGTTTATACTCTTGTACTCTTTGGAGTATTGAGGAACAGTTTATACTCTTGTACTCTTTGGAGTATTGAGGAACAGTTTATACTCTTGTACTCTTTGGAGTATTGAGGAACAGTTTATACTCTTGTACTCTTTGGAGTATTGAGG